GTTTTCACATAATAGGTAGGTCAGTGAAAAGCTGAAATTTTTATCTGGACTCCATTTTCTGGAGTGCCTATTACAAAAATGGCCACTGTTATTATTGCTGTTATTGACAATTTCAGCAGAGCAGTCAGAGGAACAGTGCTTGGAGACTTAATTACCCTCACTCTTGTTTTTAAGTCTTACTTCTCCAGGTAAGGATTACGGCATATGTGCATGGATGTGTTTTTCAAAAGTTCTCTTTGCTGCTCTCCTTGTTCTGTAGTTAAGCAGTGGCTGTTAATTTCCCGACTAAAGGCTATCCCTTTCATAACTACTGAATTCACATAAGTCTAACAAAGGCTTTGGGGAAAATAAACAGTTCTAAAAAAAAGTCTAATTTTAAAATACTTGCTAGATTTGTTAGCAACAGAATGATCAGGTAGTTTTAAGGTTTTGAGTACGTTATACTTTGGCACTTGAAGAGAAGAAATACCATGTTACAATTAATGTCAGGGCTTGCTGAAATAGAGGAATAAAATACAAATGCTTATCTGATTCCTTAACAAAGCTATCTTAGGTACAGTTTAAATGGCTTTTGTGTATGATTGGAAGCTTTAGTAATCATCCTGTCTATACTGGTAATGTATGAAAAATTAGTATCAGCAAGTTCCTCTTGGCAGTAGGTGTTCCTTCCTTTTATTAATGAGCCTATATTCAGGTATCACTGAAACAATAAAGGTCTTGTTCGTAGAATTTTTTTTTTTTAACCCTAGAAATAATTGCGCAGAGGGAAATGTATGTTGCAGTAATGCTGCCAAGCCTTCCTTGTGTGCCAAGATACTTCTCTGTGGTTTTCAGAGTGAATGATACAATCCTGAAACAGTCTTTTCCCCCAAAGGAGTAATAAGTGGAGAAGGTTAGAGACAGATAACGGATTCCAAAGATCAATTTTTGTCAGCAGGCCCCAAGTAACTTTGTAACTAGTGGATTAAACCTGTCCTTCACTTCTACTGTAAACCCTAAAACAGTGGTTAAAACCAGGCATTTCTCTGGGAAGCGGAGACGAAAGTAACCTAAAAATGTTTATTAAAGCGTATAAGCAGTGACTTTCTAAAAAATGCCTTTTCTGCTGGCATGAAGTGTACCTAAACAGAGTAACAACTTTCCTTAGAGCAGGATTATAGTTATTCTTACTTTAATGTGTTCCTGGATGACTCTCAGGATGCAGGACTGTAACAGAGGATGGGTCAGTGTAGCACTCAAGGGTTTGCAAGAAAAAATGCAACCTAGTGCACAAGACAAAGCTGATCAGCTTTGATCTGGGAAACCTGGAAATTCTAAGATAGCGAATATGATCACCAAAAGGACTTTTACAGAAAACCAAACTCTACACTCTTGTATTCCCAAAGAATATAGGGAAAAGCAGAGGAATTGAAGCTAAACCTGGAATATTCTTTGTTAAATTCCTGCCAGGAGGTAAAGTCATCTTCCGTGCTGTTTTCTTCATGAACAATATTTTAATTGAAATGCTTATAGAAAAATTAAGACTTTATTGTTGCTAAAAATAAGCAAATATTGTTTAGCTAATAATAAGCATTATTGCCTTTTCCAAGAACATAAATCCTTGTGCTGTTTTTTGTATTAAGAGCACGTGATCTCTGGTCAGAAAAGGCTAAAAACCACAGCACCAGGCTATGCTGCTAGAAGGCATGTTTGTAATGTGTGAATGGGCACCACTTTTGTGTGCAGAATGTGTGTTCTGTGCAAGCATAGCAGCAAAGCTATAAGAAAAGGAAAAATGCCTCCTCCTCCTCTTGGAGGTTTTGGGAAGCTTGATGTACATCAGCCATTCTGAGATCTCACAGGAGAGGCTCTGTAGCCTCATAGCCTGATTATACTGAGTTATTCCAGTCACTTTAAAGAGCACGCATCAATGACAAATAGCAAATCCTATTAAGGATGTCCATATTCTTTTCTAATGTGATTGCTCTTGTAGTGGGAGCAGTAAAAGGTAGTGTTCACTGGCAAGAGATCAGACAGGTTTTCTGCTGAGCTGAGGTGCACACTAATGTCTCAGTCTATAGACCTATAGAGGTCTATAAAGCTGCGCTGGGATGAGCAATGTCCCTGGCATAAGCTGCCTATTTTCTATTCAATCTGAGATTTCTGCTTAATGGTTCAACTTGGTTTTTTTGCTTGTCTTTCAGCGGATAGTTTATCCTGAAATGCTTTTTGCCAGCATTGTATGGGATTCACTCAACTCAGCAGGGCAAAGTCTGCAGCAGGAGGAAGAGGTGGGAAGGACCTTGTTGATTCATTCGGCCCATGTCCTTGCCAAATGAAAACTATTCACTCTTGTACTTTTTCTGACCTTTCCTTATTTGAGTGCTGAGGCAAAAGGGTGGGAGAGCTTCCACTTCTCTTTTGTAGAAGGCTATTCTGTTATTGATTTAAAATAAACAATCATTGCTTTCTTTTCTCATCTGTACAACAGATGGAGGGAGATATTTCATGATAAAAACAAAATTGATACTTCAGAATTTGTGTCATATATCCATTGAGTTCTAATATTTACCTGTTGATGTGGCTTGAGCCTTTCATGAAGAATCTGGCTGACTACTTTGAAAGACAAAATGCCTTGGCTAGTGATGACTGCTTTCATAGGGTTATCATGTCAACTGTGAAATCCCATTTCCCAAGGCAATAGGAGTCGCTGGTAGGGTACTACTGAATGCATGGCGGAGTCTTGTTTGAAATGGCATTGCTAGATTTAAATCATTTCCTTTTAATGATGGTTCTAGTAGGTATCCACAATAATTTCACCTATAAATGTAGATATATTTGTTACAGATCTTGGTTCCATTCTCTTTCCCCACTTGCACCTTCTGAATGGTCTGTCACTCTTCCCACTCGAGTACTTAATCAGGTGAAAATGCAATAATCTCTTTTGTACATTTCAATCTTCTGGGCAACGTGTTAGAGCTATTTCTTTTTCCTGGAACTGAATCTAAATATTGTTACTTCACTGCATTTTCCCATGTAGTGTACAGTTAGTAGAATAGAACAGATTTTTACTGTAACCTGATTTTTGTGATAAATAGAATGCGTGCAAACTAGGTATTGCAAGGAGGGGTTAGCAGGACCCGATAGGCAAACAAATGTTGTTTTGATGTTTTAGATACCAAGCCACCAGAAACCTTATCTGCATTCTCCTGCTTCCCTCACCCAACAAATACCATATAGGGTGACTACAATGATAGCATACCCAAAGCTAATATTAAGGATTTAAGGCACCTGTCTTTCCTTTCTCCCTTTTACATAGAGAATTGGGAATGATGGATGCTGATTTTTTTTTTTTCTGCCTTCTCCATGAAACTTAGCCTCCTAGATGTCAGGCTAGTTCTTCAGCACTTTTTCAGTATAATCAGGTGTTACAGTGTAAATAGTCTTTTTCCTTTTGGGCCATATTTCTGGTTATCCTTCTTCCTTTTACCACCAAAATGTTTGTGTTTGACTTTTTCTTTCTTTCTTTTCACTATAGTTTTTTTTTTTTTTTTCTTCTTCTTCTGCTTCTCCAGGCAGCCTGATGCAGAAAGGGTGCTGGCTTGCTTTCATCACATCAAAGCCTGATTACGGCAATTCTGGGCTTACCAACCTCCCTCATGAGCATATACAGCATCCACAGATTCCTTTGAAGACTTCTGGGGGTACTCCTCCACACTAGGTCATTTCAAAAGGCAGCTTCTTTGAAAAAGTTGCTGACTTCCGAAAGTAAAATAATGTGCTTGTTATAAAAGTGATGACGACGATTTTCTGTCCTGTGAAGCTTTAGTCTTCCATTGTCTAACTGGAATGTGTTTCTCTTGCTGTATCCGCTTACTTTGAAAGATTATGGCCTATGTCCTAAGTTCTTTAATCCTGCAAGGAGCTAACTGACAGGTAAATATTAACAGTGCGCTCTACTGCAGGTAAATTGGACTGTGTTCTGTGCCCTATGTTTCTGAGGATTTGGGGATTCCCTATTTAGTTTCCTTAGTTGGGGACAATGCTTTAAGAACAGAATATCCTGTATTTTATCTGTGAAGCT